TATAATTAAAATTTTTGGGCGCTCAGTGACAAAAAATTTAACGGGGCATTTAGCTAAAAGGGTTCAAAAAAGGATTTGGCAAGACTTCGGGAAACAGGACAAGTGTTTCCCGAAGTGTTTTCGCATGAGCCCCCCACATTGGGGTTTTTGGGTCACCCTAAACGGGCCCCTTCCGATTCCCCCTTTTTAAAAAATTTAAGGGTTAAAAATTAAAAAACCATAACCCGGGCTTTGAAAATTTGAAGTGGATTCACTTTTTTTTGTACTGATAACGGAACTATTTAAAAAAAAATAAACTAAATGTTTCTTCGACAAAAAAGGGTAAAAGTTTAAAATTCAAAAACCCTTTACTCTAAACCCACAAACGGAGAATTGATGGCATTTTTTTCCCCAAATTTTTTCTGGGGTTTTAAAAAGACATTTTCCCAAAAATTTGGGCAATACAAAATACCGAAATTCTTTTATAGACATTTTGAAAAGTTCCAATCATTAACCCAGATGAAATTTTTTGAAAGCAAGACAAAATTGAAATTCGATAACTATATAAAAAAGGAGGTTACCTTCGCCCAGGACCGGGCCGGTGATGGAGACGGGGAGGCGCTCTGCCAAGCTTCAAGGAAGTGACGGTGGGATAGGGGGCCCCTTTGGGGTTACCCTGGGGGAAGCTAAACTGGCACCGGGTAACCTGTACCCCCGCTTGGGGACAAATGGCACTTGTCCCCCGGGTCCCCGGGCCATACCAGAACCTGAAATACAAAATCCTTCACTGACCAGTCGAGGAGACAGGTACGAACTAACCAAAAGGGAAAAAAAATGCAGGGGTTGGGAAATGTTAGGGTAAAGATTCTCCCGAAATTTAAACTTAAATTGTCGAAAAGTAAACTCGTTTGACCCTTTTAATTTTAGCCCGTATTTTGGGACATTCTTGACGCATAAGTAAGGAAATAAAAAAGAGATTGAAAAAATTTTTTAGCCTCCCGCCCCTTTTGGGGTGCTTTTTGATTTTAAAATGTTTTTTTTTTCCCCAGTAAATTTTTTTTTTTGGCCGTTTCCCTTTTTGGTTACTTTTGTGCTTTTTGGGCGTTGTCTTTTTGTGGTGTGTGTGTGTTTTGGGGGGGTGTGTGGTGTGTTTGTGTGTTTTTGGGGTGTGTGTGGGGTTTGTACTCACCTATTTGTACTCGCCTATTTGTGGTTGAAAGGGTCGGGGTCACAGCTCCGGCCCCCCTCTTCGCTGTTTGGGTACTGGGTCCCTCTCCCCCCTGCCCATGAGCTCAAACATCCCCACGCCTTAAAACTATGTTAGGGTTTTCCCCCTCCTCCACTACGCCCACTTTCTAGGCTATTCCAGGGCCAAACAACTCAAATTACTGAAAAAAATACTTCCTAACCCCCTTTGTTTTCACCCGGGTTTTTTTCCAATTTCCCAAATTGTACCTCTTGTGTCTGTGGTCCCCTCGGGAAAAATCCCGTCTTTGTCCCCCCTTTGTAAAATTTCCCCGCGCATATTTTATATGCCCTTAATAAATGTCCCCCCCTGACCCCCCCTTCCTCCATTTGTCTTCGGGCCGATTTCCCTAAACCCTTTTTCTTCTTAGGCCCAATCCCCAAAGCTCGGGGACTAGTTTTGGGTTTAAAACCCTTTGCCTTTCTCTTTTTTCTTGACGTGTTTAAACTGGGTTGGGGATTCCCAAAACGGGTGCTGCAAACCCCAAATTTGGGGCCTGAATAAATAAAAATACAGAGCCTAAACGAACCCTTTTACTGAGGTATCGGAACGCTACCCGGGAAAAGGTTTGCCGGGCCCCCCGAAAGCTGCAGCAGTTATTTTATTGTTTGGCGCCTCGGGAGATATTTTCCGGTGGTTATACTCCCCCCCCAGAACTTTTTTTCCTTGAGTGGGGTTTCGCAGTCTTTGGGCCTCAAAAAACTATATTTGTCTGGGGTCTTCTTTGTCCTTCCCCAATCTTTTTTGATTTTGCTTTTGGCAGGGTAAATTCAAGGACCAGTTGCGGGAAACCGGGTTTGTACCTGCCCCAGGTCTCTTTGTATCCCCGCCTGAACCTCTTCCCATTTGATTCTTCCCCCTTAACTTCGCATCATCTGCAAACAAGGGGCACTTTTGAGTCAATTTCCCCTTTAGTTATTGGGCGTTCACATTTTAAAAAAGAAAACCCCAGGTCCTAGGGCTGACCCCTGGGGGAACCCCGCTTGTCACAGGGGCCCACCCTGACCCCCCTTTGTCGTGTGTGGTGTGTGTGTTTGTGGTGTGTGTGGGTGTGGGGTGTACTCACCTAGTTGGTTACTCCCCCTAGTTGAGGTTTCGGGGGTCCCAGGGCCGAGCTCCTGGCCCCACCCCTTCCTGATCGCTACTTTGGTCACGCTCCCAGCGGAGCTTTTATCGTACCTCGCTTAAAACTATTAAGGATCCTGCCTCCACTACATCGCTTCCCAAAATTTCCACTTTCTGACTACTCTGTGGCCCGAAGAAAAAACAATTTCCCAACAACCCTGTGATTTATTGTGTCTTTAGCTTCCAACTGTGTCCCCTTGTTACGGTCCAATCTCTGGAAAATCCTGTTTTTTTTCCCCCTGTCAATTCCCCCTCAGTAATTTTTTTATGTCGTTTTTCATGTCCCCCCATCTCTCCTTTCCCCCAGGCGGCAGGTTTTTATTTTCCCTTAAAAACCCCTCCCCGTTGGACATACCTCTAGCTCTGGGCTTTGCTTGTTTTCAAAAACCTTTTCACTTTTTCTATTTTCTTTACGTGCTTGGCTAGGGGTGGGGGTTTCCAAAAATGTTTCCGGGATATCCAAAAAATGGGGCCCAACCCTATCCCGGGGTACAGGGGCCTAAAAGATCCCTTTTAAAATGTCGGAATCTGTTCTGAGGTTTGCTAGGGGGCCCCTATGCTGCAGCAGTTATTGGTTGATGTGCGCTTCAGGAGAAGGGGCCCGGGGTTAACTCCCCCCCAAATTTTTTTTCCTTGAGGAAGTTTGTAGGGCTCTGACCCCCTAGACTGTTACTCCGCTGCGGGCCCTTTTTTGCCTTTCCCCAAACTTCCCTGCCCTTTTCACTTTGGGGATTGGGAAATCCAGGGGCCAATTTCGGGCCATTTTTCAGCCTGTCCAGATCCCTTTTTAGTTCCGCCCGTCCCTTTGATCGAGGTATTCTTTTTCATCAACTTAAATCATTTTGCAAACAGGGGACAAACCTCAAATCAAATTTCCTTTCCCTCATGTCTTCCAAATAAACCCGAAAAAGCAAATGGTCCCAGGAAAAGACCCCCGCGGGGCCCCGCTGGTCACAGGTGCCCACCTGACACCTCCCCCATAACCATACTCCTGGGTGTTTTTCCTGACAAGTATTCCCCGACCATTGTAGTGCCTTTCCCCGTTTCCCCGCTTGGTCCCCCCCAGTTTTTTCACCAATCTCTTGGGGGGAACTGTTCCCCAAAAGCCCTTTTTTTGCCCGGGCCAAGAAAATGCAAACCACCCACCCCCCTCTCTCTTGTCTTACTGCTTCACCAAAGCATAGAACCCCCAGAAAGGTTTTTTGACACAGGATTTCCCGTCCCCGTGTGGGTGTTGTGTGTGTGTTTGGGTGTTTTGGGGGGTGTGTGGGGTGTGTGTTTGTGGTGTGTTTTGTATTTTAAATTTTTAAATTTTATTGTATTGTATTGAAATTTCTCATATCCCTACTGAATGTAATGAAAAACATTTTCAAGATTTATTGTAATAAGTACAAAATTTTTTATATAAAATAGAGAACTATATAAAACGCCCAGCGCAAACGGGGGGGATTTTTCGCAAATCTAAAAAATTTCTTTTTGCTTTGTCCAAAAAAAGTTTGTTTCCCCCGCATCGCACATCCCAATTTTTTTGAAATTTAAAATTTTCACTTTTTTAATTCTTTCTTTCGGGAAATTTGGGTACCCTTCCCGATTTTATAAACTTTCCTAATCACATGCTAAAAATGTATTTTTTAAGGGACTTAAAAGTGAAATCTTGTTCTTTACCTTTCCCTTATATTTAGTCTCCTAAAAAACTTAGAAAATCAGTTTTCCCTTTGACATCGAACATCAAACTTGCACAGTAAAACTAGTTCGGGACCTCTGTTAAACAATACTTTCCGGAGTCTACCTTTTCCTTTTTCCCTTTTGCCTTTCCAACAATTTTTGGGAAAAACTGGGCCCCTCTCTTTGACTTAGAACACAGTGTTTTGACTTGCCCACACTAATAATAAAACTTTTCTATCATGTTCGGACCAAATTTAAACCCATTAAAACTGGGCCTCTGCCAAAACTCACTACCTTTTTCCATCTTCAACAGACGCCGTCCCTTGGGTTTAAGCATCCCTTTTAAACAACTTTTCCAAAAAAAAATCTTAGTCCTGCTTTCTTTTTTAGAAAATTTTATACATTTTTCAAAAGGTTTTTCCAAAAATTCAAACACTCATGATTGGCCCAGCTTTATCTCTTCTCCTTTATTTAAAATTTTTTTTTTCCTTTCCTTTCTTTCCCGCCTATTTGGGTTTTTGTTCAAAAGGGTATTTTTCCCTTTGGGTTTTTTTTCCTAAACCCCCGTGGTAATTACTACTACTAAAACCCCCTTTTTTTTTCCCCCACCTACCATTGTTGTACCTGTATTTACTAAAATTATTCTACTTCCTCTCGTTCTACTCTCTGCCCTTCCCTCTCTTGTATATATGATGACTCTTCGTGCTTGTGTGCGCCCCCAAGTCAGATAGAAACTGTCATAAGTTTGTGCTTTACGGGTTTTGTGCCTATACACATACACGCTTTAAAGAAAAACTATCAGATTTTTATTATAGTGTTCAATAGATTACTGTGTGTTAAAGGAACCAAAGAAAAGATATACAATATAAACGACAGTTGATTTTTTTGGTAGAGGGGAGCAAGGCATTTCTCGAATTAAGCTGGGGGGGGGGCAGCAAGCTACATGACGGGACGCAGGTAGTCTCCGGTTCAGAGAGAGGCTCTTAAATTGCATAAGAAATGTCGGAAAAGTTTCTACTCGGCAGGTATAACGCTGGAGGGCAACTGTACCAGCAGTGTGTTGAGCTACACCTCAAATCACCAAAAGTACGTAGTGACGGGTCACGCCTGCCGCTACGACCCCAGCACACCACCTACGATACCCCAGGTCGCTACGAACAACTTGCATGTAAGAGCTAGTTTCTCTTCGTTAAGTGATCACGGGAATAATTACTTAAAGTTATTTAAATAATTCGAAAAGTGTAGATGTGTACTGCCTGTCTGTTTTTTTTTTTTTAATAAATCAACCTACAAGAATTTTTTAACATTCATGAATGCCTAGATTAGCTATTTTTAGGCTTGGTTACACTAGACAGTTCAAAAAGACTTCTTGTGGCTTTTAATTTTTAAAGGTCCAGTTTAATGAACATTTACGGAATGTGTAAATTGATAATTTTAATGTGCTAATGTGGGCACTAGCATAGATCTGTGCTCGTGTCTCCATTGATTCATTCCTGGCTGGCGGTGTACAAGTTGCATGCTCTGTATACACTGAAAGACTTGTATGAACAAGACCGGAGAGAGATTTAAATATTTCTCACGAAATGCCACCTGCAATTGGAATAATAAGACACTGCTATGCTGTGATCAGCTTCTACGGTGTAAAACCGAACTCTGGGAGGCCAGCGGATGCGTAACTATTTAATGGATCAGCTGATAGACCCATGTGAGACACAACTCTGACCCACAAAACTCCACAACCCTTTCATCACATCAGTGTATTTGTGAATATAATACTTTAAAGTTAGTTTAGTCTTTTTGAATAGTGTGCAGGTGAATGCGCTAGTGGCAATGAACCTTTCCCCCCCCTCCCTGCCCTATCTCCCCACACACAACCACACCACACATACATACCCCACTTACCTATTCTTCATTTAATTACTAGTACAACCATTGGCATATTTCAATCCTTAGATTCTTCATGGTGACCATATCATGGGAGACGAGTTCGTCCAAGTGTGGCAGTTGATCTCCCAAGGTGCCATCAAAATCACATCTTTCAAGATGCCAGGTGTCGCAGATATGCAGGTGAGTTCTGTCGCACACTTCTACTACATCAGTACTTTGATTCGCATTTAAGTAGGCAGCATTTGTTTTAAAAAAAGTATGATGCTAGGTAAGCTTCTAAATGGAGTTTTCAGTGCTACTAATACAGGTGACCAGAAGCTGGAATTATTTAATTGCGAGATGACAGATACAAGTGCGTCCTGTTGAATTTAAATTACATGTAAAGCTTTAACTTAAATATTTCAGTGGTATATATACTCAAATCAGGAAAGTCAACGGATCTCTAACTGTACTGTGCACTCTCCAACACGGTTAATAAATTAAGGTGTTAGTCTGGGGACAGTGTCACTATGTACAAAGCTTCTGCAGCACATAATCAGTTTTTTTTTTTTTTTTTGTTTAGCTTCTCTGTGTTGTACAGGTGGTAATGATGGGCGAGTTGCCGTGTCTGGTGGTGGTAGAGGCTCGTGGCACAGACACGGTCCTCATGTGCGAGAGAGAGAACAGTTTCTTTGAACGACAGCGCATTCACACTCGCAACCCTGCCAAAGTGAGTGAGTGAGTTGGTACCATCAACCTTACCAATAGCAGTCTGTATTCACATTGATCTTAAGGTGTAATGTCTCGCCAGCACGTGGGCATCCTCCCCCCAACTGCTCATATGTGAAGAATACATGTAATGTATAATTAGTAAAGTGGTAGGCATGGGCACTGTGCACTTACAAGCTGATCAGTGAAAGCTTATGTTCCCATATACTTTTGTTTGATATCACCAAAGCTTTTTCTTCTGGTTCCATCGCTCTTTGCACACTGAACACTTTCTTCTCGTAAAGAAATTATCTAGGCCATCACAAGCCACTCTTCCATGAAAGAAAGGCAATAAAACCCTTTTTAATTTAGTTTTGTCTTTGATAAGTGTATGTGCTTTTATATTTTGTCATATTTTTCAGGTACATTTTACAATCACGTAAACAATGTACATTCAATCTTTTCTCAAAATTCGCTCACAATAACAAACGTGCGAAAAAATTTTTTAACATCTTCGCTTGTTATTTTTCTCTGGCCAGAAATTAATTCTGATATCTCGTAAGTGGATGCTGATCATACATCTGCACGTCAGATTTCATACAGCACTAAGATAACGTCTGAACATCTATCTGCTATTTCCCCTTTCCCCCCAAACTTTACTGAATGTTTGCACTACCTCTTTCATCCCTTCTCACTGACCACCTCCACAAAGATAGTTCCTTGAAGCCGTTGAATAGCTTATCAATAAATTTGCATGTTATGATCCTTGTATTCTTGCGAATTTAGCTTATCCTTTAAATATTGTAATTAACACAGTATGTTTGTCACTAACTTGCTTTAATAGGAACAGTTATACTTGTGATAAATATTTACTAATGAGCTCTTCCGGGTGTGCTGATGAATGTTGGGTATACTATTGAGTGTTCGGGTTTGCTAAAGTGTTTACCATCTTCAGGTATGTGTGTGTCATCACCGTGATCCTTCTGGCCGCATCATCACACTGATGGCCTTGGCTGACTCCGGAGACTCTACCCAGGCTGTTGGTTCCATCTACGTGTATATTTACGACGAAGCTTTCGCAGAGTTCTACCTGGTGCAGGTGTGTCAAGATGTGTAGAGGGGATACTACTCGGCAAGTACCTCTGACAGTTTGTCAAAGAAACTAAGCGCAAATAATGAAGTCGGCCTCATGATCACTTTCTTGAGGAATATATAGTGCAATAACCTACGTGATGTGAAAATAAGGTTCCAGATATTTTCAGTAAGTTTGTTTATACCTCAAGGGAGGTTCTTTGATGCCAGTGAGGGACTCCCACCAATGTCTTCCTGGCTCACTTAGGGAAGGGAAAAGGGGGAGGGATATATTTGCTATACCCTTTCGTAACATTCTGCTTCTTGCAAAGGGGCAGGGAAAAATGTTCATTTTCCTGCTGTTTGACATTCCTTCTGATTGTAGCTTGGTTTATCTCTGGGTATGTCGCGAGAACCCAATCTAGCTAAAAGTAGAGTATGAAGCGGCAGTTAGAGGCACATTTTAGAGAGATCTTGTGACCTAACGTCCGTCCGATTTCTAAGGAAACCCTGGTGATAAACTTATGAAACTAGGTAGTATTGTACCCTCCTTTTGTATCATGACCCAGTGGAGGTGGTGTCTGCCGTAAGTTATTTGACTCGATCTTGACGGTGTCTTGTTACTTGCTCGAACCCGAGTATGATATTCTGCTTCTGAATACTGATATGCATCAGGTTAGAAGAATTAAGGTGGGTATTATGGTGAACACTAAATCGCTGAACCTATGATTGGGCGAACCGAATCTTTTCCTTCTACGTAGTGAGTGTAGAGACCTGAAAGCAAAGCAGTGTTTCCTTCCCATTACAAACCAAGGTGCAAGAAGTTTGGACACGCGAGACGGTGCAAGGCAACCCCCAAAAAAAAACTTACGTTGCATATAGAGTCGTATTTGACACTGCCCACTTTATTGTAATATTGGAGTCACATTTGAAGAGGCTCCCAAGTCTCATGTGTGGTGCACAAGAGGAAGAGTGCACTGCTACGCTGTATGGGGAAGACGTTTTGCAGAAGCTAGTAAGAAGACGCTCACACATCTTGGCCGATCATGAGCAGCAGTTGCTCCCAGCTGCTGGACCTCGGCTACTGGGGATGATCCTGTACCCTACGACGCCTTTCAAGGTTGCCTGTAAGGATAGTGCAAGTTTAAAAAGTTTTATCATAATATTTATAACTGATGCTGTTATTTTAATCATTGTTGGTACACTACACAAATAACCCGCACATAGGAGAGAGGAACTCACGACGATGTTTCGGACCGACTTTGACCATTTACGAAGACACACTAATGAAAAGGAAAGGGGGGTATTATATATAGGTCAGCAGACAGACGGAACAAGAAAGGTAGTAGGAAAGGAAGAGAGGTAGTGGTAGTATAGTGGAGTCAGTGTTGGTAAATGTTGTGCATATTATTTGGGCTAGTAAATTTTATTTTATTTTGTATGTTGCCGCAAGCATCTTTTTTTTTTTTTTAATACCAGGTGCACTAAATGATCATGCAGCTCAAATCACTCTTCCTATCTCAAAACTTGCCTATGGATCGTTTCACAACTTAGACAATCATTTTTGATGTCTGATATTTTCCTGAGCAGGAGCTGCTGCTGGAGAACTTGGTGTGGGTGCATCTCTTCTCCTACAACGCTGATCTGTTGATGGTGGCGCTCTCGGAGGATGTTCACGGTGATGGAGGGGGCAAAGTGGTGGTCTACAGGTAAGTGAAGTAATCACTCGATTTCTGGTAGACTAAGGTAATGAGGTTGGTTTCTTAAATTACTAATTTTCAGTAGTCATTTGTAAATTTTTTTAGGCATTTTACCAAACTGTCATCACTTTCTGGTAATTTTTTTCTTTGACACGGGGTAAAGTACAAAAAAAAAACTAGGCAGCAATTTTTCTTTTTGCACTTATATCAGGGAAAATAGCTTGATTAAAATGTACCTGTTAACATTTTGAAGCTAAAATAAAAATTACTGACTCAATTTAGACTTGTTCTCAGAACAAATATCAGTTTGTAGAAGAATTTAATACAGATTTCGTAATTTACGTGAATTTTTTTTTTCAGACTGGATTGGATCATTGGCAAGGGTATTAAATTACTCGGTCACTTGGGTAGCTCCAAGACTGCTGCTGCGGCTACATTACTCTCGACCAACCCTAGTTTCTTCGTGGCACAGGAGCTGCCGGTCGATCTCCCGAAGGAAGCTCAGTTCTCCCGTATACCTACAGGAGAGGTCTGTCTCTACGTGATCAACCGTAACGGGCTTGTTACTTGGTTCTGTCAGGAGGGCATCCACAGGTGAGAGCTTGAAGGAAAGTTTATCAAAGTGCAAATGAACGTTAAATTTCCCTAGTGCTAAGTTGCTGAAACTGAAACCTAATATGGCACCCAGTGTACACTTAATAGGAAGTTTTGAATTTTAACATTCTACTACATTCACAGATTCAGGAAGGAAGGAGAACTTCATGTGCCAGGAAAACTGACTCTGGAGGCCTGGATGATCTCCGATGGAGAGAAAATGGTTCACAGGATCTCTGTGGCCGGTCAGAGTTGCTCAGAAATCGAAACAAACAGCACCTCAGCTACCTGCTGAGGTGCTGGAGATGAGAATAAGAGGGGCTGTATATGAAAATTAGCAAATACAAAATGTTAGAAATTTCAAGAGGTACTAAAGATGTAAAGTGATTTAATGATCTCGAGTATATAGCTTAAATCTTAACATTTGTCGACTCTGTTGAGCTATAAAAATATGAATTGGTTTGAATATTTTCTTGCTTATCCAAATTTTTGGATACACCATGTTGGCACGGGTAATTAACCATATTCATGAAAACAAATAACTTTGTTGTCGAAGTGTTTTAAGAATACTTGTGTAGAAAGATAGTTGCGCTGTTTTTAAATAATTTATAATAGAATTTACACAATTGTTTTTATTGTTGAAATTGAGTTTCTTCCAATGGTAATAGTGTAGTTTTAAAGTTTTATTCCTGTTATTTAAATTCTTGCCACTGAGTCACATTTGTTTATAAAAACTTTAATTTTATCCTGAGAGTGGTTTTTGAAGCCTTCCAATCATTTTTGTATACAGAAAACTGTGGATTTGAAGTCAATGTTTCTAATGGAATCGCGGAAGTGGTTGCAAAGCAATTTTTATGGAGCAATTGGTTAAAAAATAAATCGTCGAGAATTTTTCTTGTTAATAAATGAAATGGTATTTCTTTGAATACTTGTCCTCTTCAAGGGGGGCTCCTTGGCGTGGTGAAGAGGCTCTTGGTCTGAGGAATTAGCCCTGTCGGTCTTCTTCCTCAGACCGAATTTTTCCCCC